GAGTTTGTTTAGAAGTACTTTTGAAATGATTGAAAACGTTTTATTTTTAGAACCAATCCTTAGTAAAAACGCAAGTGAAACTTGGAAAAGTCCTTGAAGTGCTTATTGGAAGAAACACAACTTTAACTACTTTTGGAACCCAAAAACATTTTTTTCTAAAAATGTTTTCAATCATTTTAAAAGTACTTATAATCGAGCCATGTTTATAAATTATATGTTTAGAAAGTCCTATTAAGGAACAAATGACTACATTGATATTCGCCATTGGCTACAATAGCATTAACACATTATTAAAAAATATTAACAAACAATACTTTGTTTATCAAAGAAAAGATGCACCATAAATAATAATATTAATACTACTATTTTTTTTTTTTTACTTGTTGCAATAACATAGATACATTATACACGACACACCGACTATAATTACTTATTAAAAAGACGTCTGTTTCATAGCAAGACTAATTCAAACATTGCCCCCACTAAGTACTAAAAATTAGGTACCTCAGTAAATACATCATTACACACAAAGCACGAAATTTTCACGCCAATTGACTACTCTTGTTGTACGGAAAGATCAGCTTTTTGTGTCGACGGGAAGAGCGACGAGTGACAAATAACAACTGGCGGTTGTAGTGAGTTGCGGAAAATCTATCCACGCGGAATCAGAACGCAAGGCAAGCTGCACCCGCAGCGGTCCCTTTTATAATTCTCCACCAAAAAAAGCCTATCCTTTTCACCCTTCAACTCTCACACTTGCAGAAGGGGAGCAAGCGGCTCTGGTGTGTTGGGGGTCCTTGTGAGCTGGGATTGCTGCGATTTCTGTTCAAAAATGGCGTGCAGGCTTGCAAATTCTGCGTTCCTCACAACGGTAAAGCTCTACATTTTGATAACCAGTTGCTCAAAGCGTCTCTTTTTACTCTTGTTTTTCAAATTTTGGAAATTTGAGTGTTGGTTTTTCAAATATTGGAAATTTGGGTTGCAGGGACCCCATCAGAACCCAATTCAGAGGCGAAGAATCGGAACCCATTACTCTTCAGGAATCTGCTATCTGAGATTGGACGGCGCTCTCCGAAAGGGAATCAAAAGGCAGCAATGTTCGAGTCGTAGAAATTGGACGGCGGTTGTGCAGGCGGTTGCCGTTCCAGTTGCGCCACCTCCGGAAGCTGACAGTGCCGAGTACAGAAAACAATTGGCTGAAAGCTATGGGTTCAAACAGATTGGAGAGCCGCTTCCGGATAACGTTACGCTGAAGGATGTCATCGAGACCCTTCCGAAAAAGGTATTGTCTTTTCGGATAATGTTAATCTCAGAGCCACACCGCCAATGCAACTTGTTTTTAACCTGATGCATCTGTTTAGGATTTTTGACATTTTTTTTCTGGGGATTCTTTGTGAGTTAGACTGCCAGTAGTTTGTTCAAATGAGTGAATTTAGCGCCCGTTTGATAACCATTTCGTTTTTCGATTAGTTTCCATTTGGTAGTTTAAAAAAAGGGAAGGAAATCTTCTTTCCATAGTATGTGTGGAAGATGTAGTATAACCCACCATTTTTTTTTCTATGCAAGTGCAATGTATTGATTCCAGTTAACAATTTGTTGATAAATGTAAACAATCCCAAATGTAACCGTTTTCTTCTTGTTTTCGTATTTTAAGGTGTTTGAGATTGATGATGTGAAAGCATGGAAGTCAGTTCTAATATCTGCAACTTCCTATGCATTGGGGCTCTTTATGATTTCGAAAGCCCCATGGTATCTACTTCCTCTGGCTTGGGCATGGACGGGGACTGCAGTTACTGGGGTTTGTTCAAAGCACTTATCTTTATAGTATATTGGTTCTTGTAACTTTCTTCATTCGTTTTTTTTTTTTTTTCGGATCACTATTATATATCGAAGCCAACTCATTCCTTTTTGGTTTTGCCTTTCAAATTGTGAAGTTTTTTGTTATAGGTCATGATTGTGCGCACAAATCATTCTCAAAAAACAAATTACTGGAAGACGTTGTTGGAACGCTGGCCTTTCTGCCGTTGATATACCCATACGAACCATGGCGGTTTAAGCATGATCGTCATCATGCAAAAACAAACATGTCTGTGTTTCTAAATCATAACTTCTTCATTAGGCGTAATGTTTCCATGTTTTAAGTATGTTTCTAACTCTTAACTTGAATTTTTCTTTTTACCTCATCATTTTAGGTTGGTGGAGGATACAGCTTGGCAGCCTGTTTTTAAAGACGAGTTTGATTCATCTGCTATTTTTCGCCAGGCAATCATTTATGGATATGGCCCACTTCGGCCTTGGATGTCAATAGCTCATTGGTATGTAACTATAAAAAGGAATCACGCATTGTTGATCTTTCCTTTGTTTGCGGTCGTTAAATAAGTAATGGAGATCTTTAGTCAGGATTCTTAATTTGTGTATATCCAATAAACATGTTATATAAGGTTTACTTGGTTTCGTGATAGGATGATCGTCCACTTCAATTTGAACATGTTCAGACCAAGTGAATTGAAAAGGGTGAAGATAAGTTTGGCTTGTGTTTTTGCGTTTATGGGGATTGGTTGGCCATTGATCGTGTACAAGGCAGGGATCTTGGGATGGATAAAGTTTTGGCTGATGCCATTTTTGGGATATCACTTTTGGGTAACACTACTTCCAATTCCCTTATGCTTTAATTTTATTGCAGTACTTAGCATGTGTTGCTGTTGCTTTGACCATTTTTATAGTTATCAAGCTTACTCTGAATTTTGTTTTTCAATTTTGTATGGATCTATAGATGAGCACATTCACGATGGTACACCATACTGCACCTCATATACCTTTCAAAACTGCGGATGAGTGGAATGCTGCTCAGGCTCAACTTAATGGAACAGTGCATTGTGATTACCCGGGATGGTATTCTTCGTTATGTCATTTGGATCTTTAAATCTGACATGATTGCAGTATATTTTTTAAACAAACATGGTTTGGCAGTTTAGTCAGCTTTTACTGGAGATACTATATATTTCTGATGGCGCTATCTTCGTTCTTTGCGTTCCACACTCTTAAAGTGTTTTACCGATTTGTTTGTTCATCCAAAAAGAATAAACTGATACATTAACGGTTCTTACATAGACTTTTATAACGGATCCATTATTTTCTCAACAGGATCGAGACCCTCTGCCATGATATCAATGTCCATATACCACACCACATATCTCCAAGGATTCCAAGTTATAACCTACGTGCAGCTCACAAGTCTCTTCAACAAAACTGGGGAAAGGTAGATATCATCATTTTCTTCTACATATTCTTATTGTGATTAGCCGTAAACAAATATGACCTGAATGTAAAGCAGAACTGTTCAAAAAGCGGCGGTCAAAAAGGTTCGAAAGGCATAAGAAAGCAAAACGATTTATCTTCATTCTTTTTTCTTTTTTTCCATGTGATTAACAGTATATGAACGAGGCTACATGGAATTGGCGTTTGATGAAGACGATACTGACAGTGTGCCATGTTTACGACAAGGAGGAGAATTACGTTGCCTTTGACAAACTTGCCCCTGGAATCGAGTCTCATCCAATTAAGTTCCTTAAAAAAGCAATGCCCGATTATGCTTGATCTACTTGTTTGCCTTGTAGGGTCACAGCCGTTTTGGTCCTTATCTCTTTACCCTTTTCCTTTTGGGTCAAGATAGGTATGCTATCCCAATTTTTCTACATGTTATTGCTTATGTTTACACTCCTTTTTAGAATTTTTTTTTATCATAAATGGAGAATTGATTGACGGAAATTTCCCGGAAGTTCACGTTATAGCGCCTTACGCAGGCGTTGGCGTCATCCTCTTCGTTGTCAAGGTAAAATTATGGTAGCTAATCATGCAATAGTAATCCTCTAGAGTTTGAGTTCTTCTTGAACATTTGTGGTGTTTTCCCCCTACTATAGCGAGAAAAACTTAGCATTCAGACCACACAGCCCGTCCACCCGGCACATAAACCAGCCTTACCCCTCTGCCCTTGGTCCATACCCTAATGGGTCTGCTGCCGTAGTGTGGCAGCCGTAATGAATACTCGGTCCTGCTACAACGGTATAACATGTGCCCACACTGAAATTGAAGAAATGAGTCAGAACCCCCCCAGTGAGGCCATGGATTAAACTAGATGTTGGTAAGGGTAATGTTGGTTGGAATTAGTGTTGATCATTTTTTTTAAAGGCTGACAAGGGTTTCTCTAATTTGTAAATTAAGTAGAACTTGATCTTACTTTAATGTCAGGTTAGTTAGCTTCATATCTTACTAATTAAGTACAAGGACACATTAAAATACTAAGCAGGCGCATACAACAAGGAAGTCAAGTTTAATTAAGTATTTGATGTCCCTCCCTATGTAGGGTTCTAGTAAAGTGGGAAGAAAATCCCACTTCGCTTTTAGAAGAAAGCTCGGTAGGGTTGCCCGACTATGTCATATGCTGGGAACGTTGCACAAGAGGACGAGACTGGAGACCCCAATTTTTGGCCTTACCAAACTGTTGGTCAAAGCTGGTATGTGAGATGCCCTAATTAGTCAACCCTGCTGAAGTTTCTGTCGACTTTAACGTGTGAACGTTGATAGAATGAATAAACGAAAGCGGAGGAAGAGGTCAAAGAAGGTTCATAATATTCAAAGGCCAAACCTAACCTCTTTGTCTAAAGCTATGCAATTCATAAAATCCCTTGGCCTGCAAAGACTTGGCAGTTGCAACCGCTCACATGCCAAAGGGCATCTCCCTCCAAATCTGGAATCTTACCCAAGCGTCTTAAGCTGCATCAAAATATGTGCAGGATATCACTTTGGCAAAGCATACGACAAAAAAGCGAAAGAGAGGGTCTGTCTGAAAGCGGACAAAAACTTGGGTGTAACCGGGATAAATTCCACCCTCCCTATTCTGTTTAGTTTCGCGTATTTTTGGTCATACGTAAGAATCTCTGTCCTCGTTTTGTGACAGATGACATATAATCAGTGGATGTGCAAAGGTACCACATTTCTAGTTATGGCGGTTAAGCAATCGATTTCATTCGGTTAATAGTAGGTAAAGCAAACACTTTGATTGTTTGTGGTGAGCTCAGCAAACCCTATACAATCTTCAGAACTCTGAAGTATCTCTAAATTTCCTAAACCTACATAAGTAATGCTGCAACTCTCCATCTCCTACAATCTAACAGTACAGAAAAACCTATGAAAAACGCGATCTTCAAAACATCAGGAATCGTAAGGCGAATCATATGATCGGAGGAGGTGGAGTCTCCCATATGTCAAACACATTTTCCTCGCTGTGAAGAGCAAAAAGCCGATCCCCACCTATCGAGAAGTCACAAATCGAACCTCCATAGCTTCGCCGGAGCCTGGACGTTAAAACCCATTCAGGACCACAAAACACCGAAATTGAATCGTTCATGGACGAAAAGAGCTGCCCCTCATGCAATGCCAGCTTAGGGTAGCAAGGCTCATCAGGCATTTTCCCCTTCATGAGCCTGCTCCTCGAGCTCCACCGCACGCTTCCGCCGGAGTTTCTGATGTCGATGAACCCCAAATCTTCATACTCGTTCACCACGCAAATCGAGTTGCTGTCCTCCATTGCAATCGCATCTCTCACCCTCTTCTCGTCCACGGTGATCGGAGCTCCAATATCAGACCACGACCAGACCATCTTCTTCTCCCTGAAATCCAACAAACTTATGTAACAGTTGTCCTTTCTAGGAAACAACGTTGCGACCAACAAACAGTTGCTCCCATGTAGCCATTGCAGCTTGTCAGCATCGCCGAGCGACCAGCCGGGCGGTTCGTAGAAGAAATCGGTCTGCTTTCCGGTCATTTGATCCCAAACACCAACGCCGTACTCATTGCTCCGACCTTTGCAGCTCGAAAAAATCTTGTAGTCGGAACCAAAACTCAAAGCTCCGGCAGTAAAGCTCTTAACTTGATTCTCATGACTAACTTGAAATTTGTACCTGAGCTCGCCGTTCGACGAGCTGAACAGCCCCATTCCACCGTCTCCGCGGCCGAGCCGCTCACAAACGCTGATCACAATGCTCTCCGAGTCGACCCAACCAACATCATTGACTCTCTGGTAGTCAAGGTTGATTGGCGGGTGCTCTTCCACCATCCAATCATACACATGGACCATCGAGCCGTGGGCGACGCAGCAACCGCCATCCGGGCCAGCACGAATCGCCGTGCCGTCGCCCGGAGCTTGTCCGGCTACTGTCCGGGAAAGCCACAGCCTGTTGCCATCAAATGGGCCCCACTTGGCTGATCGGACGTGGTCGAGGAGGCCGTAATACAAGGCTTCCCTGTAGAGAAGCTTTTCGGACATGGTGGCCGGGATGCAGAGCTCTTGGGTTCGGAGAAGATCGAGGAGGACGGCGAAGCAATCGGGGTTGCGATCAATGAAGTATTCGTTGGTATTGTCGGATTGGAGATTCCAGTCCTCGTCGAACATCGCTCCGAACACCGAATTGCGGCCGGCGTTTGCGAGTGTCGTGGCGGTTGTTTCGAAGATTCTGCCTCCGACGTTGAATCGAACCCTGTCCTTCTGAATTCCCATGATTGGATTTCAGAAAGCTTTCGGATTGAATTAAGTTCGTTTCCGAGAAATTTGAAGAAAATTATAGGATTCTTGATTATTTGGATTATTTGAAATTCTGGTGAAAAGAACAGGATTGAAGAACAATGATATGAGAGAGAGAGAGAGAGAGAGAGAGAGAGAGAGAGAGAGAGAGAGAGAGAGGATTAAGAAGCAAAAGAGGGAATTTGAAAACAGAACTGCATGGGAAAGCAGGGGAATTTGATCGAGTTTTGAGGAAATGAGATGCGGGTTTTGAAGATTGGAGGATTCTGAGGCGTGGGTTTTTGAATTGTTGGGATTTGGTGAGGTGGAATTGATGAATTGGAGCGTTTGGATTTGAAAAAAAAAATGACTCCTTTTCTTTTATGCTGCTTTGCCCATGTTCTCTCTCTCTTTGGTTTGCAGTTGCCGGTTGGTCTTCCTTTGCTCCGGACAGGCCTGAACTTTTCATGATTAAATACTCTATGGTAGGGTCAACTGTAGCTCTAGATCATCCTTGCCTCTCCACCGTTGGATGGTAATTTCGAATCCAATCCACTGGAGTTAAAAATTATTGTACTAGTATCTCAAATTTATAACGCAGTCTAAGAGTTCATTTGGATGTGCTTTTAAAATAATTGAAAATACTTTTAGAGAAAATATTTTTAGGTTCCAAAAGCACTTGAAGTGCTTTCTGGAATAAGCACCATTTATGTGTTTCTCTTAGGAAGCACTTTAAGTGTTTTTCCATGATTTACTTGCATTTTTATTAAAGATTAGTTCTAAAAATATTTTTACCAAAAGCGTTTTCGGTCATTTTAAAAGCACATCTAAACGAGCTCTAATATGTTTAACTTTTGACTTATTATGTAATAGTATTTATGTTCACTTGTGAGCTGAGATCTCATGTTCGAAGTCCATTTACGTCGTTAATACTAGGGGTGGATTTTTTTGCCAAATTGCCATGCCAACCGAATTGCCAACCGTGCCATACCGATTTTGTGCCAAATTTTTTGTACCAATCGGTAATGATACGGTATTGTACCGTACCGAAATTTCATGGTACGGTATTGGTAATGGATACCATTACCACGGTATTACCGTACCATACCGAAAATACAATATAATTTATATAATACATAATTATATAACACATATTTATAATATTCTAATAATTTGAAAATAAAACCCTACTTATATTAGCATTGTTGTTAGTGACTTTGATCTCTTAGAATTGTGGAAATCAAACACAAAAGAGTTCCTAATTCTTTCACAAATAGCCAAAATATCTTTGTAACCCCCACTTCTACTGTTGCTAGTGAAAATGCATTTAGTCTAGGGAGGAGGGTTGTGAACCCTTTTAGGGTCTCCTTGACTCTTAAAATAATGGAGGCACTAGTCTCTACTAGTGGTTGGCTTAGGGCAGGTGAAGTAAACTTCTACAAGGACCAACGGAAGATATGCTTCAATTTTACAAGGAAATAGAAGAAGAGAAAATAAGAAAGATATGCTTTAATTTTTTTAGTAAATTTGTTATTAAATGGTTTTCAGCTTTAATTCTTCTTGCTACTAATTAATATGTTTTCTTTGGTTGTAATGTAGGCTTGACACAAACTCAATCTTCTACAAGTTCAATGCCTCTTCCAAAAGTTTCAACATCTCAAGCTTGAATAACTGATCAATGAATTCTCTTTTTTGAAGTTTACTTCCAATTTTCATTTGGTTTGAAACTTTAATTTCTATTTGGATTGTTAACTTCTATTTGTTTTGGTTCGTAACTTCTATTTGGATTGTATGCTTAATTTTCATGATGAATCTTGATGCTTCATTTGAATTATTATGTGTGTGAATTGTGAATGATGAATAATAAATGAATTTAATCTATAATGTATGAGATAAAGGTACAAAAAAAAAGTTTTGCCCTTGAATTGGGTTAAAAAAACAAAAACATATTTTGTCTCAAAACAAAATGGCAATTACCATTGCCATACCATGCCAACCAAACTTTTGGCAATACCGAACTTCGGTATACCGAAAGTTTGGTACGGTAATGGTAATAGATTTTACCAAACCGAAAGTTTGGTACGGTAATTGGTACAAGGGTTTTGGTACGGTAACCGTACCGAACCCACCCCTAGTTAATACCTGAGTTTGATGTGTAATTATGGTTCATTCATCATGTAGATTAACACGAATCACATGTCTTACAGTAGAATATCGAGTACATAAAAAAATCTCCAATTGTAGTATGGTATTCATTTCAAATATCAATCTGATCACGAATTAAACGTGTCTCTATATGTCATGCGTTTCAGCTTCCTCGATTAACAACGGACGATCAATTTGTGGGGATATGTTAATTTCTTGGAGTGGGGACATTTATGGTGGCAGAAATTTCCTTGTTGGGGATGAATAGTTTAAGGTTGTTGGATTAAGTCAGCTCCAACCGGAAAGAAAGCGTGTCCGGTGCGGTGTGTTTTCAATTCTTTGTCTTTGTTTTGTGTGAAATTTGAAGTTTGAACAATTAATTCTAATAAACAAAAAAAATGACATAGAGATCGAGGCTATCATCCAATCCAATCACGACACTTATTGGGACCCTTTGCCCATCACATTTATAAATAATCATAAATTGTGATTGACTTCATGTTGATTTCAAATTGTGCCAAAAAATGTGAGAAAACTCTATCTAGATAAAAGGAGCTATTGTGATGGTATTTTAAAATTAATTATATATTGATATGTGTTGTTAATAATAATTTTATTTTTATTACTGGCTTATTATGAGTTATTGTTTTTTAATGTAGATAATATCGTTTGTTTAATAATATAATTATTTTATTTTTAGTTAAAAAAATTGAAATTAGTTACGAAATGAGTTAATTTAAAAAAAAAAGTAGCTATCAAATCAAATGGCCTATTAAAATACTGTAATTGTAATATTTTTCGAAATAATTCAACGAGTTGTTTTCCTAAAAAGTATGTCCCAAATGTCAAATTTGAGTCTTTTTTTGACAAATGTAAATTTCCAAATAGGAAAGAAAACAAGTACTCGTGAATCTCGTTTTTCTTCCTTTCTCATGAGAGATTTTTTAGTGTGCTGCGAACGGGTGTTAAATCACGTGTCATTATATAAGTGGAATGAATTTTATTTTTTAAGTTGTTATTTTTTTAGCACAAGTGTCTCACCACCTGTATAGTTACACATGATGTACCACATCGTGTTCCGAACACATTGAAAAATATTTTCGTTCTCAATACAACAGGCACACCAACCAATACATCAAATATTATAATATAATTAGTTAGAAACTTAAAAGAAAATTCAACTAACTATATATCACATATTATACCGAACGCATTTTCGCTGCATCAAAAAATATCTCCTTTCTCACACATTCTAAGAGCAGTGTAGCATAGTACACTGCAATTTGTAAGTGCGGGCCATAGACGGCACATCATTGCATTTGCACTTTGGTTGTTTAAAGTAGTTAAATATTTTCATACCTTCAAAGGGTAATTGAATCCACAACGCTTTTTACTTTCTAATGGTTTTGGGTTTACATTAAGGTTAAGAATAGAATCTGGATGGTGGACCCATGCACTTTGTGCATCCATAACTTCTACTCTACGTCTCAATATATTTTTATATTCAATCCTTATCATATACAATCAATAACTAACTAGAAACGATTTGAATTCGAAACTTAGATGCAAAGGAGGATATTCATCGCTAAGTTATAATCCTTTTATCCCTGCGACTCAATATCGTTATTGCTAAAATTTCAAGTAGAGAACTATTTTCATTCGTTAACCGAACATAACATTTGCAGTATCTTACAGTTGTCGGAGAATAAACAACACAAGAAAAGAGAATAGGTTGAATGCATCCACATAGAGGTTATGATTCATGATTGATACTCACTCAAGCCATTTTTGGAGTTTTGGAAAATATTAAACTTGAGGTTTGGGTTTATGTGGACACTATTGGTTTACTTAAATTTAAAGATACTGATGACATTATTTGCTTAATTACTTAATCTTATCATCTTACTTTATGGTGACACAAATCAAATTTTTTTTTTTTACGTTAGCTTTAATTCAAAGTTCTTATGATATAATTTTGAACTATTATACGTTTTTATTTCAACAAAAATAAAAGGAAAAACTTAGAAAAATACTAATGGGCCTCAAATTGGATCCGGCCTCAAACTGGCAGTAGGGTCACCTTGGACCAAATTGTAGATCCAATCCAATATATATGATGGGCTCAGAAACGTACCACTGAGTGCAGCCTTTCTTGTGGCATGTTTGGTGGGCTGACTAGAATTAGCTTTGGGTTGGATTTGGGGTTTTGGTATAACATGGGCCGGTTTGATTGGCTTGGAAAACCGTGTCTAAGGTCGAATTTTGACACCTACTTCGTTTTTTATGTGAATATGAGATTCATATTCGATTTGTAACAACGAACAAAATTTATATTCAATTTAATTGGACTTATCCTGTTCAATCAGGCGCACTGAAACAAGAGCTCACGACCTAACACAAATTAGCACTTGGATTGTCTGTCCTCCCCCATCTCATCCCCTTCCCATCCTCTCCTATTTTTATGATCACGGTTAAGTCATATCAATATTTTATATTTCTATTACATTTTATCTTATTATTTCTATAAAATATCAATATAAAATGTTGACGTGACTTAACCGTGACAGCATAAATAGGAGGAGATGGAAAGAGTATGGGATGAGGAGGCAGACAATCCAGGTCCTATAAATTAAGGCAGGGTTTGACGTTGGATAAGACTTAGAGCTTGTTTTAGGTTTTATAATGATTATTTGACAACTAAATGTACTTCTAACTAAGAGCTTGTTTGGATGTACTTTTAAAACATCTGAAAGCGCTTTTGGTTAAATTGATTTTGAGTTCCAAAAGCATTTTAAGTGTTTTTTGGAAAAAGCACTAGATATGTATTTCTTGCAGAAAACACTTAAAGTGGTTTTCTAGGATCCTTTACTAAGGATTGGTATAAAAAATATTTTCACCAAAAGCGCTTTCAGTCATTTTAAAAGCACATCTAAACGAGATTTTAGAAAAAAATTACAAGGGTATTTTTGTAATTTACAAAAATCAAGCAAATCATATTGAATTTGAAAAATAAAAACATATCATCACATTCGAGAGGGTCTGAAAAAATTATAAAATAACATTACAAACAATATGCCTAAACTAAAGCCAAATATGACTCCTCACACAATGTGATAATTTCCTCTTACTAGGAGGGAAAGAGATCACTATGCTCTTCAGGAGAAATGAGATGTTAGAGAGATTATTTATTTAAATTATTAAAATGAATTTAATTATTATTTGATTTACAAAATATGATTTGTATTTATGATTTACTACTTTCTTTTTTGAAGAAAGCATAGTGTCAAACTT